AACATCCGTCGCTGTTTCCTCACTGATAACACCTCCACCTTCTCCACTGCTGATGTGGTTGTCTTCCATCACCAGGAGCTAAAAGAAGGATTGTCGGCGCTGCCCCTGCACCTGGACCGCCCAGCCTCCCAGCACTGGGTGTGGCTGTCCATGGAGCCCCCTGTCAACAATGCAAACCTCACTCCTCTCTCCGGCATCTTCAACTGGACGATGAGCTACAGACGTGATGCTGACATATACGTCCCCTACGGAAAGACCGTGCTTGGGGGGGATGCACAGAGCTTCCAGGCTGCTCCTAATCGCTCCTGCCTCGTCAGCTGGGTGGTGAGCAGATTCCGGCCTCAGCAGGCTCGGGCTGCTGTTTACCGAAGTCTAAAGAAGTACATCCCCATACAGGTGTACGGCAAGTGGAACAAGAAACCCCTCTCGGACAAGAAGCTGTTGCCCACAATTGCAAAGTGTGAATTTTACATGTCTTTTGAGAACTCTGAGGCAAAGGACTACATCAGTGAGAAGCTCTGGAGGAACGCTCTCCAAGCAGGGGTGGTGCCTGTCGTTCTCGGCCCCAGCAGGGCCACCTATGAGGCCATGGCCCCCCCTGGTTCCTTTATCCATGTGGCTGATTTCAAGAATACAGCAGATCTGGCGGCCTATCTGAAGCAAGTGGCTGCAGACAGGCAGGCCTATGAGGAGTTCTTCCAGTGGCACCACACTCACAGGATAAAGACCTTCACTGACTGGAGAGAGAGGCTGTGTCAGATCTGTGTGCACTTCCCCAGGCTGGCAGCCAGCAGAGTGTATCAGGACCTGGAGAGCTGGGTTCACAGCTGACATTGCACCTCTTCATGCCTTCAGGTCGCTTTTTTATTGGGACTGCTTCTGATATTTGTTTATCTCATGCAATTGGGTAATACCATACAGTTGTGGTGTGCGATGAAATGTGTCAGCCATGCAGTTACGGTTAACAGAGAACAGAACACAAGCTATACAAAAAAGCGGAAGTGGGAACTTGTGGGGAACCATAAATACTTTAGTTATTTTGTTAAAACCACAGAAGCTCAAGCTACTGATAAATGTAAATGAGGGTTACACACATTTCTCCGTCTGTTTGTTGTTTTTCTGCTCAGGGCCACAGGACAATAGGGTAACAAATATCTGATGAATATCTACATGGAATTCTCACAGTGGAATACTTACATTAAAGTGGACCTGTCATGCTATATTTGAATAATATAGTGTAGGACCATACCTATATAAGGCATATTTATACTTTGTTTTTTTCAAAATACCAAACAGATCATGCATTTTAGCCATGCCTCATTTTGCTCAATTTGCACCGTTTTAGCTCTGTTTTTGCAAGGGCTGATTCTGTGAGAACAGCACCATCTACAGGCCTGGCATATGTACTACAGCGTCTCCAGCGCTTTCGAACGGCAATGGCCGTGGCTGTTTCCTCCTGATAGGTGGAGAGTTGGCCCAATAGCCGTAGCGCCACTTTCCTGACGTCAGTAAAGTGTTCAAATCTGGATCAGTTTTTATCAGATCCGTTGCAGCCCCTTTTTTAGAGATTTGGGTATGGAGGAAAATAGAGAGGGTTGTGTTTTCTGACACTTGGTGAGTTCCCTGGAACACCGGGGACACATATTCATGTATAAAAGACGTACAAAAGTGCATTTTGCATGATAGGTCCCCTTTAAGAGTTTTCTGAAATTGTTGGTATAAATATGTAAAATAGGCACAAAATGTACATTTAATTACATTTGTGTGGAAGAATTAGAGGATTGTGGACCTCATCTCCGTGTATCCCTTCATACATTTATATTAAATATTGTTTACAGCAATTACTTTTATATTTGCAATGTTTTAAGGCTTTGATATCAGGCTATGATTTGACCAACCTCAGTAAAAACTTGTTTTCAAGACAGATGAATATGGTAACAACATTTGAACTAATATGAAACTTGGCTAGTTACTTACCCGTTTATGTAATATGTATTTGTGTAATATAAGAGCAATAAAAGAGCAGTACAATAACAAAAACAGCTAAATGTGTATTTTGAAAGTTTTGCTTTCCATTGGCCTATAAGAAGACATGTTATGGAAGAAAACAGATTGAGAGGTGCGTGAAAAAAACATGTTTTTCCCTGTGGTATTTCACCTTGTGAGGAAGCACAAACTCCTTCACTAACATTTGGACATTTTGCAAGCCCTTTGTCTGTAAAGAAAGGTAGGCATTTTTCTTAAGAAATTCTTTATCTCATTTAATCCATTTACAAAGGCAAATAACTATGCATTTCAATAAATGTTGCTTCTTAAAATTATGTTAAAAAGACACACAATCATGATATTAATCACCATTTCCTGTGTTCAGTCCTGGGAGCCATCTTGTGTCAGTGCTCACACCTCAGAAGTACTCCTGGGTTGCGGTGGAATTGTCCAAAAAAAACGTCTCCTGTCGTCTCTTCCTATCCACTATTCCTCGACCTCTGTATGTCACAGGGTTAAGGAATAGTGGTTAGGAGAATTCAAAAGGACTTAGGAGAAGACGACCGGGCTTCAAGAGAATCCGACTGCACTGACACTATCCGATGTATTAATAACGCGCCAGCAGAGGTCATAAATGTGCGTCTGCTGTGGGGAAACTACAATTTTATATACAGAGGACTACAGTGACAATATACTCTTCATTAGGTTGGAACTGAAATACAAAAGTAAAGCGAACTTTTTGTTGTCACCCTCCGGTCCACCCATGTCCATCCCAATACGTATATTTGTATGAAAGTCTTTAGATGATCCCAGCTCGTTCCCCTGCTATGAGTCCCACCAGGTGGCTTACATTGTTCCTCTGCTGTCTGCTCATGACTTCAGTGAGTTTCAGTGCTCAATGGGAAATGCACGCACACTCACACAGCGGTGGCCATGCCATCGGGAGCAGCTCGGGGTTAAGTCTTGCCCAAGGATACATCAACATGTTGACTGCAGGGGCTGGGAATTGAACTACCAACCTTCTGATTTGTAGACGAGCAGTTTACCATCTCATGAATGTAGGTTTGGTTGGGACTCCTCACCCGTCTCTGTTGTCAGTTGTTTTTTCGTCCACAAGGAAGTGGGGGGGACTTGGGCCCATAAATATCACGAATGCCTGTATGAGAGGTATCCTCTCTGATGCAGCCGGTGGTGGGGGGGACACAGGATGTCTTTCTTCCCAAGAGGTAAACTCAATGAAGCTCAACCTACAGGATGCGGGACAGATCTGGCGTTGAAAAGGACACCAATGGACGGCTCAGTGACTAACCATTATTCTACCATTTTTTGGGCCACAATAAAATAATGAATGCTAATGTTTATAAATTACATTTAATGAGGCATAAACTGCAACAGCAAAACACAACAGATACCACAAATCTTAAGTAGTAAATAAATCCTTCATTTATAAGGGAGCTGATTTGTGCTTTTGTGATTTTTAAGTATTTACATCTCTGTATAATAACTTCACTTATTACTAACTTCATATTTTAAAAACTGCATTTATTAATTATGCTGACATGTCAATTATGTATTTATATAAATAGAGAGTGGTGCCCTGTAAAGCGGTTAGGGTTGAGTCCTATTGTTTAAAGGAAAATGGTAAGTGTTAATAGTTTAAGAAGAAGAGTGCCAAGTACAATGTTGGTTCATGGAATGGAATTACTCACATTGCTGGAAAATGATATAAAAAGTATTTTCTTTAAGGAAGACTTGTTCCTGTTTCTCCATGTGACATGCTGTCCATTGTTTTGACTAGTTTCTTTCGAAGGAAAAGTCGCTGCTGGCATGCACTGAAAGAAACGACTTGTAGGATTTACTTGATTAAATCTTAGCAAGTATTTGCACTTACTTTTTTTAAGTATATTTTACTGCTGTAATATCAAGTAGAACTTACTTTCCAGTATCAAGTAAAATGTACTTATCACCAGACGTAACATTTGTGAAAATATTAAGTAAATCTTACTTAATAATGTTTAAGTTACACGTTATATTTATTTGAACTAATTAAGTAAAGTCTAATTATTTTCTTCATGGACAGGAACATCACTGTTATCAAATTATTAAGTAAATATTATATATCTGTAATAGTTACTGTTATGAAGTAAATAAGTAGATTTTATCATATTTTTTCTGTTTAAAATGTTGAATTACTCATTTGTTTGAAGTTATATTACTCACTTTAATTACGTAATTGTTACTCATTTACTTTTGAAAAATGTTACCTAATAAATGTAATAATCTATGCATTTAATATACATTGAGCACAAATCACACAACTAAAATACAATAGAATTAAACTTTATTTTGTCAACAATTCAATCACTATTAGCCGACAACATTAACATTATAATAACTGCATGCAACATTAACATTATATTAACATTAACTTATCAAAAAATACAAAATCTACTCCATCATAGATTTGGAGTGGTGCTTTTTAAACATTCAATACAAACGTTTCTTTACCTAAGGAGGGGGGAAAAACATATAACAGAATATGAATAGACGGCAACAACTGTAATCCGTGTGAGAGAGAGAAAGAGGGAGAAATGTTTATACGGAGAAAGAAAAAAATGGTAGAGGGGGGAGACAGAGATTGATACAGCTCCCTGAAACTGAGCAATTGCAACATGGACAGTGGAAGGTACATATGAAGAACAGATTTTCCATGTCTTTAAGACAGCAGGTTCACCTTCAAAGCTTGTACTTTTGGGGTCAGCTTAATCCCATCCAGTCCGAGAAAAAGTTACATACAAGACATGAAAATGAAAGAATTTCAATTATTTGAAATAAAACGTGGAACCTTCTTTAGATGCATGCGAGTGTAATTATCTGGTAAATTACAGTTAAGGTTAGCTAGCTAACAGCACGTAACATATCTAAAACATAATCTCTCAACTTTGTGAACTAATGCACAGAAACGTTAATGTGACGTATGGATTCTTGGACCCCAAAGCAGAGACAGACACAAGTTAAGCTCAAGGTGTTTAATAAATAATAGGCCAAGGCAGGTACTGAAAACAGGGAGCTGGCTGGCTGCAGAAAGGTCCAAAAACAAAGCAGAGGGAAACGTCCCAGGCTATACTCGAAAAGTAGCTCAAAAACTGCAAAGAAACAAAACAAAACTCAAGGCTGCAGAAAGGCACTCTGGATCGTTGAACAGCATTTAATTCTCTGGCAGAGAAGTGAGGTGAGGGCCAGGCTCTTAAAGAGCAGGTGATTATCTGAATGGGAACAGGTGTGCCTCATCTGCAGCCAGGAGAATACCAGCCACGCCCCCTGTCACACACCAGCCCTGCAGAGAAGGAGAGACAGGGTAGTGAGGGGTAAAAGGAGCAAAACAGGAAATCACACAACAAAACCCATGCATAAACATAACAGTTAACATGGTTCAAGCAAACAAGAATCAGGCTATTATGCACAAAGACACATATATTATCATAAGTCTTAAACAGAGAGACAATAACTTACCAACACTTCTTTTTCCAGCCATGCAGCTCCTCCAACAGCCTTCAAATGTGCAACTGCAAACCCAACTGCACCGTCGTCCAAAAACACGGGTATCTTGTCTTGTCAAGACGCATGCGCGGATTCAAACAGCTACTATGGTTTTAGATTAACATTTACTTAGTATTTTAAGGTTTATGAGCAGTGACTATAAATCATTTAAATAGGATGAGTAAATATATAATAAAACGTACTCCTCCCATACTGTAAATGTATTACATGAATAAAAGGTGTATACATTTAAAATGTTACTTAAGAAATTCTAGTTCTTTGTGAATCTTGATATTACCATGTAAAAAGTACGACAGTTAATTAAGTATATTTTATTACACCAAAAAGTCAGTTTTTTGAGTGTGGGAGGGTCAATGAGCACTTAAAACATGCCAGTGTTTTCTAGACCCTTTAAAATGTGAATAAGGAAAAAAGAGTCAAACCATTTTTCACATCAGATTATATAAATATTTATTTCATTCATTTCAGCTCTGGTATATCTACATGCAGGCTAAACATGGTGGTAAAGAAGTTCTCCGTAGTGTGTAGAACTAATGTAGTCAAAAACAGTCTGTATCAGAGCGAGCATGACCAAAACAAGGCAACCGTTTGGCTCTTTGCACTCAGAGCTATATAACATGTAGAAAAGGCAAACAGCATGACAATTGTATAATTTCTCGTCATCCCACATGGCCCTTTGTTTTGTTCCACAAGTTCAGTATGTTTGGATAAAACTGTCTTACAACATAGTTAAATATCTCCCCTGTTAATACTCCCTGGCATCTGCTGTAGATATTTTCTTTTGACATATTGTGGATATGTGTCCAGGTCTAATACAGTTAAACCATCTCTCTTAATGTGGTAGAGCTGAGAGGGGCCTAAAGAGTGCAGCTTTCCTGAGTTAGATCAGGGTTCCTGCACAGTTTCCTGACAAACATCTGTCACTGAGGCCAAATATCAATCTGGAAGTTGAATGTAATCTGGGGCAATATGAGCATACATACAGTACACAGAAAGATAGTTCACATCCAGTCCTAAAATAATGTATCATGGGAATGTCTAATAATTCAATATAAATATATAGGTTTCCTAACTACAAAATGTTCTCAGACAGAAGGGTGTCGCCTTGACCATTGTCAGGCAATTATCATATGGATGTTAGGGTTTTAATTGCCATGCTATACTTCCCCTTCTGTCTGCCCCCCGACCTTTCTTAAGGCTGTAATGTAAATGACCTAGCTGAATGAATGCTCTTCCTGTGTATAAAGTCATTGTTTTTCTGTGTAACAGGGTCAGATTCTTGTACTACATCAGTGGTAAAGGTTATCTGTCCTTTCCAGCTGGAAATAGATTGATTCTGTTAAATGCTATAACTCTTTATTAAATAACACAACTTTGGTTTAAGCTTGTACTGTATGTGTTCTTTTCTTACCAGAAGGTGATTAAGTCTGGAATTTCCACCAGAGTGTTTAGGCCAGGTGAGGATAGCCGCTTCAGTAAAGGTAAAAGCAGAGAATCCAAGAGGTCATATGAGTAACAGTGCCCATACAGTACCATCATTTTAACATTCAGCATTTCTACCATTAATTATCAGGAATGGAAAACTTGGATTCATTTGGGGCCAAACGTCAACGTGACCTTCTGTCAATCACCAACTGGTTAGTGGATTACAGCTTTGACTTTTACCAACTGGTTTAAAACATTTTTTTTTTAAACACGATGTGAAAGGATTGAATTTCTAAAGCGAGAACATGGTGTTGGTGACTTTTCAATCAGAAAGTTGCCCCCCAAAGCACACCCTGCTTTTTGTCTATTTACTCTGACTGGGGTAAAGATGTATGAAATAAACATCCAGCTGTATTGAAGAAGCATGAAACTGGCGAGTGAAATGTGTACTGAGGTAATAAATCAAGTGAGAAATAGGGTCATTTTCTCATTGAGTTCTATACAATCCGACCTCTTTTTGCAGCCGCTGCTGGCCATTATAAATAATGCAAGTTTAAGGCACTTTTGCATTGTACCAACAAAGACCTAGTCCCTTTGTCATGTTTTATCTGGTGAAGGTAGGATTAAATGTGCGGGAGCTATGCTATACAGTGTGCTGATACCTACGCTCTTATCTACACAACTATTACACTACAAACTGTAACGCACCACAGATAATAGGTGAATAATTTTTTCAAAACCTTGACATTACTTACTTTCTGAGACATTTGCTGTCCTTTGCACATGTGTAGGAACTCTTCAAACCCTTCAGTTAACAACAAGGAAACAAACAACTGAAGATGTGACACAAACTAGCGGAACACAAGTACTAACACAAGATCTCTGTCCTGTACATGTTAGCAGCTATTTACAGATCACAAAACCATGGAGACAAGCCATGTTTGAGAGATACTGTACACTCTGTTTCAGAGTCTTAGGTAAAGAGGTTCCAAATTCCTTTGAAATCATTTTATATTATATACTTAAGAAATGTAAAATACTATTTAATATTTACTTGCACTATATTTTTTCTGTTTATCTGTGTTTTGTGTTGCTCTGTTGGAGAAGCCTGTGACACAAGATTTTAATCGGCATGACTACACTGTAGCTATGTTCGTATGACTAAATAAAGAACCTTGAACCTTATTTTCTACACTTTTCTCTATTTGCGTCTTTAGATTTATCCTTAAAGTCAACATTAGGTAATGCCTCATCAAGAAATCCCCCTGGGAAGCCTTGTAGAGACATCTATCAATTATAACTGATTTACCTGTATTATCTTGCAAAATGTGTGGAATGCATGTATAAAATGCATATTGATTTTCAGATTTCATAACACAGCGTTATCAATTCATGCATAGAGGAACTAGATACAACGGTTACATAACTAACATACTGATAAAGATCACGGTGTGTTAATAAAATATTAAAATCACATTTAAAAATGCGTGAATAAAATCAAAGCCTGCAGTGTGAACACATTAAATTAAGGATTATTTAGTTATCAATAAACATGGATATTCATGGAGACCTATTAACCTATGGACTCAGAATTTCTTAGTGGTAGCTCAGTGGTGCAGACACCTGTCTGTTACTGGACTCTGCTTTGTTATTCACTCAGGATATTTGATTCAATGTTTGTGTATGTTACCCCTCTGAAGTTATTCAGAATGTTGGAGGCATTGGTCCCTGCTTCAGTCCTGTTTCAAACAGAAACCAGCCCTGTGTCCATGAACGCCTCACTCTTGATCCTCCTCCTCCTCTAAGGACCTTCCACTCTCCGTCCTGTCCTGAGCACAGCAGTGTACTAGGATTATGTGTAACTGTGCCTACTATTTATACACACAATGCTGCATTCAGAGTGAAGTGTCTCGAGTCCAGGTTTACTTGTGGATCCTTTGAAGGTAAAGGGTGGAGTCGTCAAACAGTGGGTTCTTCACCTCCATTTCTCCAGTCTAAAGACGGAAACAGAAGAATAGATGCTGATTTAGTAGAAATGTTACTCTGCTATAATCAGTGTCATGTTTGCACAGGAATTAGGTTTTGTGAAAAAAACGTTTCAATCTTCACGATTTTCAAAATGGATAAAAGAGTAGAGCACATTGGAATTTGGATAATGGCAACACAACTGATTTTGTTGTTTTAATTGCAATACATGAGTGGATGGTTGAAAGCAAAAAATCCAACATATTATCACATAAAAAAAAAATCTCAGCCCATTTATCCTTCACAACAGACTTTTTGACTTATCATAACAGAGAAATAATATCTGAATTCCATTAAACAAGCATTTCAAAATCTCTTTGGCCAGCAGGGGGCAGCGCAACAATCTGTAAACAATACCTTGGAGCAGGGGTGTCAAACTCAAATACACAGTGGGCCAAAATTAAAAAATGGGTACTAGTCGAGGGCCGGACTGGTTCAATGTTTATTGCAAAACGTATTGAAATGAACTTATTGCACATATTAAACCTGGAACTAACAAAGCTTAAATGATTGCCTATAAAAACAACATTAAATAATCAGTTGCATTCATTTCTTGTGGCTCTATCTGCAGCTTTTCCGGAGTCATTTCTTATGATTACATTTTCCCACAGGCCAACAGCTTCAAAAAAACACTTTCCCTCAAAGAAAAAAACAAACATGCCCTGTTGTCTCAAGAAAGAAAGTGCAGAAGGAAACATCCATGTAAACTCCGTGTGCTGCTCTGTGATGCTAGTTCAAGCAGATACTTGGCATCTCATCTTGGGTGCAAGTTCATCAATGTTTGGGGTCAGGCTCTGAGCTGAGGAGACCCTCAGGATGGAGTGAAGGTGTGCGTGCAATATACCGGCGGGCCAGATCTAATAGTAATTAAAAATTATCCTGCGGGCCGAAATTAAATCCACCAAGGGCCTGATTTGGCCCCCGGGCCTTGAGTTTGACACATGTGCCTTAGAGTAACCATTAGAGCCAGTATTTTTGTTTTGATAAGAAAGGCCACCTAATGTAGTCAACACACTATAAAAGACTACAATTCCCGCGGCGCCTCCTCTAAAGTGACAGTGATGGGCAACCTGCTTGAAAGACGCCGTCGAGGAACAAGTTATTAAGTTATATAAGCATTGTCAAGAAAGAAAGAATACCTAAGTTGTTTGTTATTTTATTTGAGTTTTGCTTATTTGTTTTGAATATTGTAAAGGCTTCTTTTCTTTGTTGCACATGTAAAAGTTTGTTATTTTATTTTGAGCAAACACATCGCTTAAAGGTAGGGTAGGTAAGAATGGAGAAACCAGCTCGAGTGCGCTAGAATTTGAAAGTACACAACCAAAAAAAATCTGCCCCTACCTTCAGACTTCCTCATAGAGCCCCTCCTCCAACACACACGAACGCGCACATGACCAATGAGGGCACGAGATAAGTTTGTGGACGAGATGGAAGGCTGACAGGCAGGTAGGCCATCCAATTATCTGCCGCGGGCCGAGGCAGATAATTGGACTTGCTTTTTACAGTACCACGGCTTCCACAGATGAAATATTTGTATATATTTATTGTCAAAGCATTTAATTTATTCATTACTATCGGGATGTTAAGAGCATTCCATGGAATATAACAACAAGTGTTTCTGAAGTGAATTACCTACCCCACCTTTAATACCAGAGGTGGGACCAAGTCATTGTTTTGCAAGTCACAAGTAAGTCTTTGCGCTCAAGTCCCAAGTCAATTCTCAAGTCAGGATGGGCAAGTTCAAGTCAAATCCAAGTCCTAAACTTTGAAAAACCGAGTCTTAAACAAGTCATTATGTGCTTTTCATCAAATGTAATGACATCAATCAACAGAATAATACTTAATGATCAAACTGCCCTTTATTAGTCACATTAATCATTTAATAATCCATTTTCTCTCTGCTGGTAAAGTAACCTGTTTTTCTTCTATTTTAAGAGGGATCAGTAAGGTTAGGCTACTGTGACGGTTTGATTCAGAAGGAGTTTAATGTATAAGATCCCTGATGTTAAGTTGACCAGAATGTTTATTTCCACTGTGTACAACATGTTATAAGGCAGTGATTCTCAAACTTTTTTCAATAATGTACCCCCTTTGAAAAAGAAATTCAGCCAAGTACCCCCTGATCAGCGCAAAAATTATTTGTTAGGGGAAAAAAGCCTATATAAAGAGGTACAGTACAGCCTTGCACCATCAGTGTCTGATTTATTAAAACAACAACATTGTAACTGAGAAACACTTAAAGGTGGGGTAGGTAATTTTGGAGAAACCAGCTCGAGATCGCTAGAATTTGAAAATACACAACCGGAAAAAATCTGCCACTTCCTTATAGAGCCCCTCCTCCAACACACACAAACGCGCACATGACCAATGAGGGCACGAGATAAGTTTGTGCACAGATGGAAGGCTGACAGGCAGGTAGGCCATCCAGTTATTTTAGCCGGGCCGGCTAAAATGATTGGTCGTGCTTTTTACAGTACTACGGCTTCCACAGATGACATTTTTTAATGGATTTTTTGTCAAAGCACTTAAGATATTCATTGCTATCGGGATGTTAACCTGTTAAGCCCGAGAGACCCCGGTACCGGGGTACTGCCGCAACATCTAGCAGGAAACAGTGTCTGAGGGCATGTTCATTTAATAAAACTATGAATGTTTTATATCCATGTAACGGGAAGAAACTCATCTAACTGATCTTTTTTTTTTTTTTTTCAAAAGAAAACCCACAATGCTAACACTGAGCCTCTGAATTAGCAACGAGCGAAAAATGCTAACACCTTACTGCACCGAACATCACTCACAAAACCTTATTATTTATCTTTTCACCACACCCAACACATCGTGAGGTGACACAGAATCTAACGACACCGACATTACCACTGAATTATACGTATTTGCGACGTTATAAGCAAAAACGGACATCAAAACAGGTGACGCTAGGTAGCTAAAAATGCTAACATTTTTACCTTGGCTCTGTAGTCTCTCCAAAGTGGTCTTCAATGGCATGAAAACGATAAAAAAACGCTGCTGAAGTTAATCCATAGGTTAATCTAATGTGTCTGTGTCCCTTTGAAATGATTTCTGATAATCCATAAGCATTAAAACTGCTTTTCCGTTTCCAGATGTCAAAGCTAGAGATCGGTCCACTCTGATGCAAAATTACATGCGCGAAGCCCCCACCTCTTCTCTTCACAACGTGTGTGTGTGTGGGACTCCCCCTTCGATTCTATTGGCTCTAACGGTCAGAAAGAGGTGTCAACCATCACAATCGAGCAAGGGGGGCCAGAGATATGGAAAATCCACCCAAATGACCCCAGAAGTGGTTTCTTTTTGCTAAATCTCTCTAAAAAGGTCAAATGTCACTTGTTTTGCATCAATCTTGATACAGGGTACTTATTATATGTTGTACTTTGGATTCCTAAAGCTTTTAGTCTACTAACCCATCATCCAAGGGTGGTTTTCACTATAAGTAAAAAAGAATTTTTGGACGGACACTATAATTTACAGTTTTTTACTATGTAAAATCTGAATTTTCTTTAAAATAAAAAGTATCTATATTGATTCTGACTTTTCTACATCCAACTCACAGTTTTATCATTACTTTGAGAAAAAAGATTATTAATTTAACCCTTTTAGAAGGGAAGATATGGTCATTTGTTCTGGGAATGTCATTTTCGAGCCTGAGACCTGAAAAACAGGCTCAGGGCTTAACAGGTTAAGAGCATTCCATTGAATATAACAAAAAGTGTATCTCGAGCCGGTTTCTCAAACTTACCTACCCCACCTTTAAATGCTACATTTCAAATGTTTACAATCCATCACTAAATTCATGGCCAACCAATTTTAATATCATGCAATAACACTAAGATGACATTATTTGCATTGAAGTGATCTTTTTAATAAGTTGTACTTACAATTTAGTGAGAAACATGGGCTTGTGCTTCACTGAGGATCTTTGTCATTCTGACAGGGAGGCAACTGCAGTTATTACACTTCGTGTTTTGAAATATGTGTAACTCTAGTCTATTAATATAAAACCCACACTGCTCAAACTCTGTTACTTTTCCTAAAATTGGTATATTTATCTATTTTACATAAAATAAATCTCACGTACCCCCTGCAGTACTCCAACGTACCCCTAGGGGTCTGCGTACCCCCATTTGAGAACCACTGTTATAAGGGACCCACAATCTATTTTTATGCAAGGGATAATGTGCAGCGAGGCGGTCATTATGGGGAAGAGAACACCTGAATCTAGATCCCTCTGTAGGTGGTACTTAAAGTATATTTTGATGCTGATACTTGTGTACTTTTACTTGAGTAACATTTTGAATGCAGGACTTTTTATTGTAACCGAGTATTCCTACACTCTGGTACTTTTACTCAAGTACAAGATCTGAACTTCTCCCACCTCTGGCAATAAATCCTGAGTGGTTACCAAAAAAAAAAACCCTGCTCTGAAGGTTATTTTCATTTACAAATCCTGCACTCAGCTTTGCTTTCTCCAATATCATTGAAATGCAGCCAGATGCTGCTTCTTTTTTCAGTTTTCGCACATTACTTGACTTTTTCCGACGCGCTTGCATTTAAATACGGCCCCCCTTCTCCCCGTCGCTCTGTAGCTGGCCTGTACCACTACACCTGCTGTCTTTGGAGTGTCTGCCCCCCACCCTTCTTTCACATAATGGTATGATCCTAGTGGGTCCTCGCATAGGATTGGCCGCATGGTGGGCCAGCAAAATAAAGTCCCGCCCCTCCCTGCATGGTTGGATTCCCCCGCAAGAGTAGGAGCGGCTGAAGATTCGGCTCTCCCCGACGTAAGTCTGCTCTTCTACCGGTAGCTCGCGATCGACGTGTTGTAGACCTCTGAATTAAAGTATCAAGTCACCTCAAGTCAGAAGGCTCAAGTCCAAGTTGTATGATGTCCTTTTTGTTGTATGATGTCCTTTTTGTTTTCTGTTGTTTTTATGTGTAACCAATGTACTGCAGGTCTCCCTTGAAAAAGAGATCGTTGATCTCAATGGGATTTTTCACCTGGTTAAATAAAGGCTACAAGTCAAGTCCCGAGTCATTGGTGTTCAAGTCCAAGTCGAGTCGCAAGTGTTTTGTGATTTTGTCAAGTCGAGTCCAAATAATAAATAAATCATCAAATTGGTGACTCGATTCTGACCAAGTCATGTGATTCGAGTCCACACCTCTGCTTAATACCATCCAAACCATCGGAGGCCAAGCAAATCTTCAAACTGTAAGTGATACAAAGGAAGAAAACGAGTTAAAACATGTCTGTTTAAGGCGTCTAGTGGCTTGATAGATAAAAAAGGAAGGAAGCCACGACAATAACCAATCCCGTAATGTCAGGCTGCATTCATGCATTTGCATGAAGGTCCGGAGCTTGGTTCTGATGGGCTCTAGTAGGTTAGCTTCAGCAGACCTGAGGCGACGGGTGGGCATGTGTGGTTGGATGAGGTCACTGAGGTACAGTAGGTGGGGGGCAAGGTTGTTGATGCTTTTGTAGATGAGAAGTAATATTTGAAGTCAATCCGGTGTTTGATGGGGAGCCAGTGGAGGTCATGGAGGATAGGGGAGATGTGGTCGGAGCGTCGGGTGGAGGTGAGCATACGGGCAGCGGAGTTTTGGACATATTGCAGTTTATTGAGGATGTATGCATAGAGGATGCTGTTGCAGGAATCCAGACGGGATGTAATGGAGGCATGGATGAGAGTTTCAGCAGCGGTGGATGAGAGGGGGGGTCTGGTGCGGGCAATGTTCTTTAAGTGGAAGAAGGCGGTTTTTGTGACCTGGTTTACGCGAGGGAGGAAAGTGAGGGCGGGGTCGAGGATGATACCAATGAGGGACATCTTTTGCAATACATATGCCCATTTTATAATATGACTAGAAATAAATGATAGTTATTAATATAAGTATATAAGTATTGTTTCCTGAAATATGGTAGTTTTTTTGGATAATTATGATGACCAAATAATACACACAGTATGACTCTTAACATAAAATAACATGTAGAGTTTACTCACAGGGGCCAGTCCAGGACACTCGTACACTGTGAAGTCTCCGTCCTCGTTCTCCTCATCTGTCGATGCTCCTGAGTCGGGAATTTTCGGCTCATCCCTGTGTCTGCAAAGGTCAAACACAACCACACACACGCTTAATATTTAGGGGGTAACAGATTGGAGGAGGCAGAGGGGGAGGGGGGGCATGTACAGTGCATCTGGAAAGTATTCATACCCCTTCACTTTTTCCACATTTTGTTATGTTACAGCCATATTTCAAAATTGATTAAATTCATTTGTTTTCTCAACATTCTAGACACAATACCCCATAATGACAAAGTGAAAAAAGTTTTAAAATAATTTTTAGTAAGTATTCACACCCTTAACTCAATACGTTGTTGAAGCACCTTTGGCAGCAATTACAGCCTCAAGTCTTCTTGAGCATGATGCTACACGCTTGGCACACCTATCTTTGGGCAGTTTCTCCCATTCTTCTTTGCAGATCATCTCAAGCTCCATCAGCTTGGATGGGGAGCGTCGGTGCACAGCCATTTTCAGATCTCTCCAGAGATGTTCAATCTGGTTCAAGTCTGGGCTCTGGCTGGGCCACTCAAGGACATTCACAGACCTGTCCTGAAACCACTCCTTTGTTATCGTGGCTGTGTGCTTGGGGTCGTTGTCCTGTTGAAAGGTGAACCTTCGCCACAGTCTGAGGTCCAGAGCACTCTGGAGCAGGTTTTCATCAAGGATCTCCCTGTACATTGCTGCATTCATCTTTCCCTTGATCCTGACTGGTCTCCCAGTTCCTGCCGCTGAAAAACATCCCCACAGCATGATGCTGCCACCACCATGCTTCACTGTAGGGATGTTGTTGGCCAGGTCTGGTTTCCTCCAGACATGATGCTTGGCATTCAGGCCAAAGAGATACATTTTGGTTTCATCAGACCAGACAATTTGCTTTCTCATAGTCTGAGAGTCCTCTAGGTGCTCCATGGGGGCTTTCATGTGCCTTTTGCTGAGGAGTGGCTTCCTTCTGGCCACTCTACCATAAAGGCCTGATTGGTGGAGTGCTGCAGAGATGGTTGTCCTTCTAGAAGGTTCTCCCATCTCCACAGAGTAACACTGGAGCTCTGTCAGAGTGATCATCGGGTTCTTGGTCACCTCTCTGACTATGGCCCTTCTCCCCCGATGTTCAGTTTGGCCGGGCGGCCAGCTCTAGGAGGGGCCCTGGTGGTTTCAAACATCTTCCATTTGCAAATAATGGAGACCACTGTGCTCGTTGGGACCTTCAATGCTGCAGACATTTTTCTGTACCCTCTCCCAGATCTGTGCCTTGATACAATCCTGTCTCTGAGGTCTACAGACAATTCCTTGGACCTCATGACTTGGTTTGTGCTCTGATGTGCACTGTCAACTGTGGGACCTCATATAGACAGGTGTGTTCCTTTCCAAGTCATGTCCAATCAATTTAGTTTACCACAGGTGGACTCCAGTCAAGTTATAGAAACATCTCAAGGATGATCAGTGGAAACGGGATGCGCCTGAGCTCAATTTTCAGTGTCAAAGCAAAGGGTGTGAATACTTATGTACATGTGATATTTCATTTTATTATTTTTAACACGTTTGCAAACAATTCTTTAACACTAGAACCGCCAGAGATTTTTTATACCTAAAACCGCCACCTGGGTCAAATTGACCCGCTATTAGAATGCATTGATTTTCAAGGTAAAATGTTCTTTTATTGAACAGAGAGTTTTGATCGCACAGGGATGAAACGTATACCAATATAATCTGTGGACTCTCAGGGCTCGACATTATAAATGGCCCGCTGGCCCGGAAGCATTATTTAGACACCGCGGCCAGCATAACGTACTTTCAACTCGCCCCACAGCTGTTTGCTGCGGAGCGCAGTGCGAGCAGTTTCCCGTGAGCGGGAGCACACTCCCTCACTACAGACTCTCTCTCTCTCTCTCTCTCTCTCTCTCTCTCTATCTCTCTCTCTCATCTCTCTCTCTCTCTCTCTCTCTCTCTCTCTCTCTCTCTCTCTCTCTCTCTCTCTCTCTCTCTCTCTCTCTCTCTCTCTCATCTCTCTCTCTCTCTCTCTCTCTCTCTCTCTCTCAATCTAAAAGGAGGAACCGCAGTAGACAAAAGGCGTTGCTATAGCAACACGTCATGTTTATATGAAAAGGGGTGGGGTCAATATGACCCGCTTGGCGGAAATAGGTATAAATGGCAATTTTTTGGGTGATTTCTTCAATCTGACTTCATATTGACAATTTTTAACAACAGAGGGTGGTACATAACACACTTTCAGGAAAAGTCACGGACTGGGAGACTTTAATATTTTATTGAAAAAAAGTTACATCAAATATAAAACAGCTCGGGGTCAAATTGACCCCGTTGGCGGTTCTAGTGTTAAAAACGTTTTTACTTTGTCATTAAGGGGTATTATGTATGGAATATTGAGAAACAAAATGAATTTAATCCATTTTGAAATAAGGCTGTAGCATAACAAAATGTGAAAAAAGTTAAGGGGTATGAATACTTTCCGGATGCACTGTAACTCACTTCTCCATTGAGAGCATCTGCTGCTTCTGATGCTGGTAGTGGTACATCTGGGCACTGTGGGCCAGCTTCCTGTCCCCAGGCTGCAACACAAGGGTCAGAGATGGTCATCCACTTCCTGTCAACTGACCTTCACTTTACATGATGTGACCGTGTTCTCAAACTGCAGGAAGGGCAGCCATGTTTCCTCTGAGGGTTCTAAACTTATCAAACTGTCAGATAACCTTGTTAAAGGGTAACTTTTCATTAGCTGCTACATAATCTGGACCTAAATCAGAATCACTATCAGAATCCCTTGATTATTCCCGACAACGAATTAACATGAGTGAGGGTTGGAGTGTGGAAATGAGTAAGTGCATTCTAAAAGAAGGTCATTGTCACAGTCAGAGACAATTACAAGCTCTTTATAATGAATAGATGCTGATGTGATAAGTGTACAGTGCCCGGGGAGCAGTGGGGGGGGGACGACTCCTGGCACCACGGCAGTTCCCCAGGAGGTGACCTGGGACCTCTCCAAGTACCAGCCAACACTCCATATTTTAGGTCTGTTCTGGGACTGTTCCAGCGACCCTACGGCTCACAGACCAAGCCCCTACTGACTGAGCCACTGCCGGTCGTTTAACTCCCAAAATAAGTTCAGTAGTTCTACTTTAAACTAAGTTGACAGTAGTAATATTGATACAAGTAGACAATTGTCTATATATAGATAGTAGGCAAGGACTGGTCAATATGTCAATATTATATCAATATCAGGATATAAGATGAAATATTTAAAATTAGATTTCTGGACTTTTGTAATATAGTAATATAGCACGTGTTGTCTTTTTCTGGTTCTCAAAGGCTGCATGACTGTAAAATGATATGTTTGAGTCTGTTGTAGCTGTTCTGTCAATGACCTTCCTCCACTTCATATCGATCAAACTATTTAGGTAAAAATACGATATTTTATCTCATCCAAATCGCCATGTAAAAGTGCTAATTAGCATTTAGAATAACAACATTGATTTCAAATGTGCCAAACATGTTTTTATTTGGAAATCTAATAAATGCTTTTTCATGTTAGCCCCCACCTTTCCAACAACTCAGTGGAGGTTTCTTCCCGTGTAACACTACCAACTTATACTACTCACCAAATTGTCGAAGGCCTGTGCTCTCATCAGTCTGTATGCAGGGTAGTCCGCCTTGTGAGTCAGACTCACTCCTTTCTGCATTCTGAAAACAAGTTTTCAAAAGTCACTCCCTGGCAGATGTATACACATTTTGATATCTAATGTTAAAAAACATTTGTAATTGATTTGCATGCGTTTCTTTGGATCTGGGATATTTTAACTGGCAGATGGACAGTTTAGATTTGTTCATAAAAACCTCAATAAACTTAAATAATTATTTCCAAGACATGTTAGGAACAGGACATATGATTCACTAATTATAAGAGTAACAACCACCAACTGAGTTTTGGTTACAGAATGATTATAATATCATTACAAAACCTTTCTGCCCTTTGATCAATTTGATAACTAGGTTAGTTCCATGTGTATGGGCTTAGATTTGTCTCATAAATATTTGTGTGAACATCAAAATAATTTGTGTGTAAATATGTGATTTGTAAATGTAAAACACCATCCACAAATGCATTTAAAAGATTTGCAAACTCACAAATAAATGTTCAAATGTAAAACAGATCTGCAAATACGCTAAATATTTTCACAAATAAAAAAAAGATCTGTGAATATCTCTTTAACATTTACAACTTTCGATCAGGCATTTGTGAATCCATTTTGTATTTGTCAACCAAAAATGTGCTTGTGGATCTCAAATGTCTGCTTGTGGATCTCAAATCTCTGCTCGTGGATCTCAAATTTCTGCTTGTGGATCTCAAATCTCTGCTCGTGGATCTCAAATCTCTGCTCGTGGATCTCAAATCTCTGCTCGTGGATCTCAAATCTCTGCTTGTGGATCTCAAATCTCTGCTCGTGGATCTCAAATTTCTGCTTGTGGATCTCAAATCTCTGCTTGTGGATTTCAAATCTCTGCTCGTGGATCTCAAATCTCTGCTCGTGGATCTCAAATCTCTGTTCGTGGATCTCAAATCTCTGCTCGTGGATCTCAAATCTCTGCTCGTGGATCTCAAATTTCTGCTTGTGGATCTCAAATCTCTGCTTGTGGATCGTCTTTTTACACACACAGAGTTTTGAGACAAACTTTCCGCCGGTCTCGACCGAATTCTGCTCGTGTCACTCGGTTATTTTTCGGAAACCACGTGATGGCCTGCTGATGACGACATTTCCGCATTTCAAGGTTTCAAAGTAAGAGCATGATGGCTTCCCTCTGGAGTTGACGCTCGCAGCGCCATGTCGAAGTGCGCATATTATTCTACGTATTTAATCAGATCTTTTCGATTATAAGGAGAACAAATATTATGCAGATAACCACCGAATCGCTGGAACTGTAGCTTTCCAGTTGTACCTATTGTGAGAATTTACCCGACGACTCACAGCAGCCAATACGGCCGCTCAAAGCAGCTTGACTTTGCGTTACACTGTGTGGGATTTGGTTGTATCGTATGTCGAGTAAATCTCGGCCGGGGCAGCTGCAGCTATGTTGGTCTGAAATGACAAATGGACACTCAAGAAATCACTAAGGACCTACCGACCAAGAACAAAACATAAACCACGTATCTCCCATCAGTTAACGTATGTGAGAAACAAGAGAGAGACTGAGAAAATGGCTAAATAAAACATAACAAAAGATATGAAGAAAGAGTTATCTCTGGGGCTGCTTTGCTGCCAGCTGTAGCCCCCCAGGACCCGAAAGGGGCGTAGCCTAAGTAGCCTACTTCAACATCAATGCATACGAATGTGCTCGAAATAGGCTGTATTGAACAAATAAACTAACACAAACTAACTGTATCACTATAACATGATGGTGATAAAGAATGCACCTAACGTACCGCTGTTCATTAAAGTAATACAAAAACGGCACATTAAAGAAACCATCATGCTCTTATTTTGAAACCTTGAAATCCGGAAATGTCGTCATCAGCAGGCATCAAGTGGTTTCCGAAAATAACCGAGTGACACGAGCAGATTTCGGTCGAGACCAGCGGAAAGTTTGTCTCAAAACTCTGTGTGTGTAAAAAGACGATCCACGAGCAGAGATTTGAGATCCATGAGCAGAGATTTGAGATCCACAAGCAGAGATTTGAGATCCACAAGCGCATTTTGGTTGACAAACACAAAATGGATTCACAAATGCCTGATCGGCAAGTTTGAGAAACCGGCTCGAGATACACTTTTTGTTATATTCCATGGAATGCTCTTAACATCCCGATAGCAATGAATATCTTAAGTGCTTTGACAAAAAATCCATAAAAAAATGTCATCTGTGGAAGCCGTAGTACTGTAAAAAGTACGACCAATCATTTTAGCCGGCCCGGCTGAAATAACTGGATGGCCTACCTGCCTGTCAGCCTTCCATCTGTGCACAAACTTATCTCGTGCCCTCATTAGGCGCGTTCACACCAAGTACTTTTCCCACAATAGTTCATGAGAACTTTAGTTCATGAGAGCTCTTTTAGTTCTGATGAACTAAAGCAGATCGCGTTCACACCAAAATGAGTTCCTGGGGGTGGATTAGGCAAATTAACCGCTGACGTCACTTCTTCTTCTTCTGCTTTGGGTTTACTGGCAGGCCGCAAACAACTTCACAGCGAGTATGTGTGTGTTTGTGTCGTGTAAAATGGGGGAAATCAAAAGTTAGCAAATCCCCATGTCATGTTCATAAAAACATTTAGTATTAGGTCAAATAATTATTACACTGCTCTGAAACTCACTACACTAACTCCTAAGATGTTCCCTTACTATAATTAATTAAAAATATTTAACTCACAACACTGGTAATAACAAACTTAACCATTTCTCTTTCTATAAATAAATAGTGCTTGTGTTGGACGCCAGTTTGAAATACAATGAAATTATCTTTTTGAAAGCCACAATAAATAAATCTTCGCCAGTTTATAACCGATGAAACATGATGGTATCAGAATAATCACTTACATGTGATGTATAGGACGCTACACAGGTCACTGTAAAGATAAAGTGTCAGAGGAGAAATAAGCAAGCTTAGTTACATGAAATGTAATGAAAAATGTAAGATACAGGCTCTGTTTAATCGCCATGTAGGTTCTCTTTTATTGCACACTCAAGACAATATCAATAACAGCACACTCAAGACAATATCAATAACAGCATCACGCTGTCCCAGGTGTGTTGTATGCATGTAAATAGAAGTTAACATTTTCAATATCAAATAAAGTGTCAGTAGTATCAAAACATATATATATATAATAACCAGAGTTGGGTGTAACGCGTTACAAAGTTACAAAGTAACGCGTTACTGTAATAATATTACTTTTGTCGGTAACGGAGTAGTGTAACGCGTTACTTTTATAATTCAGTAATCACACTACAGTTACTAACATTGCCCCGACACGCGTTACTTCGTTACTTTTATAAAATCAGTCATAATCACACTGACAGACAAGAGGGGTTTCCGCCGCAGGTTTATATGTACGTAATCTGCGCGATTTGCGCGTCCACATCTCCACGTGCAGTGCTGCATAAACATGGCAGAGTCAGCGATAACTTTCGAGGGGTGGAGGTATGCCCATTATTTTGAGTTCGTCCGAAGAATAGACAGGAATGTGACGGTGAGGTGCAAACTGTGTCCAGGCCAGAAGCTGTTATCCACTGCTGCAAACACCACGTCAAACCTCAACAAACACCTGCAAAGAACACATGCTAAGGTGAAGCTAATAGCTAAGGACCGGACCCCCGAACCCAGAGTGAGGATGTTGTGAGTGCGCTGCCGCCGACTCCGAAGCAGCACAAATTAGAATTTGGAGGACCGGTAACCAAAGCAGAGATGGACAGGCTTGTAGCATCCTTCATAGTAGAGGTAATGTTGCCCATTTGCACAGTGGAATCACCATCGCATCGTTCAGAGATATACTGCGCAAAATACAGATAGCAGGAGACAGAGGACAGCCATGGTCAGAGCTATCTGGATCAGTCTTATGCGACAATGGAAACTGAACTAAAGAGAACATTTGAAACTTTAGCAGTCTGCGTGATTTGCCTGTAGGGAGGGGCGGGCCGGCCCTGCGAGTAAAGTAACGAGTAAAGTAACGAGTTACTTTATGTAGAGAGTAACGAAGTAGTGTAATATATTACTTTTTTTTAAAGTAATATGTAATATGTAATATATTACTTTTTTTTAGTAACGACCCCATCTCTGATAATAACAATATAATAACAATAGGTAGGCTCAGCAGACACACCTTAGTGCAAAGTGAAGTGTCAGTATTAATAACAGTGGCATATATATAATCACAATAATACAAAATTAACTGTCCCAGGTGTAGCCAATTTGGGGTGAAGTGTCTTGCCCAGGGACACAACGACATGCTGACTGCAGTGGGGTTTGAACCTGTGCTCCCCTGATCCGCACACCAACGCACCAGACCACTGCACCACACGCCTCCCAACAAGTCATTGGACAGTTTATCAACGACGACAAGTATTTTTAAATGTTTTTATTGAAGGCCTGTTGGATTTAATCAGCTCGCTTAGCACTGCCAGAAGCCCAGCCTGAAAGGTATTTTGTTGCTCCACCTGGCGCGCCGACACCTCCACCTGGCGCGCCGCCGAGTCAGCATGGTGCAGCATCACCATGAGCAGCTGGTCGTCCGATTCCTGGGCCTTGTGTGAATGCAGCAGCCGTTCGTCGTGCATCTCCTTGGCATGCAGGTCCTCATTCTCCTTGCTGACCATGGCACGGCGGTCCATCGCCATGATGGTGTCAAGGAAGCTGTCATCCCGTGCCCGCTTTCCTAAGGAGAAATAAGCAAGATACAAGATCAGTTTAATCGCCTAGTAGGTTGTCAACAGAGACAACATTGGACATGGTGCAGGCAGGGACAGTGTACAAAATGCAGGTGTAAAGTAGAAGATAAGATAGGATCAAATAATATCAAATAAATATCAAAGTGCCCTTATTTATTGTTTTGTGCTTAATGTATGCTTGAACTTTGTTTTATAGGGATTAGTGGACATCAGTTAGATGCGTAGCCTTCTTTCAAGGCCAGAGTAGTTACAGTGTAAGTGGATTGACATCTAACATAACATGGCTGAGTACAATTATAACAATCAATA